TATATATATATATATATATAAAGGAGGGTATATATAAGGAATGTAGGACTTAAGAGAGATGTGAAGTTATAGAGTAGTTCTGAAAGTAGTCCATATTTTATAAGGCTTGTAAAAAATGAGATTAAGCCATGGAAACAATTGATTTAAGGAATGTGTGTTTATATAAAAGATGTTTGTAAGAAAGTAAACCTAAATGTACCTTGATTTCTGGAATCTTAAGAGAGGCGATCTTTTAAAAATCATTTGGGGCAATAATGCTTCGATGTTTTACAAAACAAAATCTGATTTACCTCTTGTGAGTAAGACCATCGACTCTTTCTGATTTGTCTTTCTGAAAACGGGGTGCTGTTTTGATTAAATTCTGGGCTTCAAAACATCTTTAAGAAAAAATAAGTGAGCGAGATCATGGTAATGATATGAATAATTTATAATTAGCGCAGTAAAGATTAATTACTAATTAATTCAAAGTTTGCTATATTATTTATAGTTTGCTTATGTTTCATATGATATTAAAGCATGAATATAAAGTACATGATCCAATATATGAGTGTTAAATACATGATAACAAAAATACGATAAAACGACAAGGGCAACAAGTGAAAATAATGAAAGCAATAAACTAGATTATGGAAGCAATAAATAGTAATGAAAGAAATGAGAGAAAGAAGACTGGACTCTGGTGGTTGGGCCTCAAGAAGGTAGGCCCAACAATTGAAAGATACGGCTACAGCTGACTGGACCCTCCAAAAAATGCAACAAGGCTGGTTTGGGCCTGAGTTCCTTAGGAACTTAGCAGGCCCAAGTGTGTACATGCCCAGAAAGAAAGAAGGTTATTAGATGTATATTTCATATTTTCAACATATTCAAACATGTATAGATGTATAGACAAACGACTGGAACAAGAAATTATCAATACTCAAATACTATGGGAAATTATATTAATGTGGTAGTTATACCCGGCAAATAATTTACATTTAAAATCTTTCGTTGTCATTAAATATTAAACCCCTAAATAAACAAATGTGTTAATGAATTAAGGGCTAAGGAGGAATTTCTACTCAAGGTCAATGTCCCCTTTGAATCCCCCGACACTTCAAAGTTCCCAATGGACTTAAGGTCCAGGGCAATGCTTGTGCCGGGGAGGGCAGCCCAACCTAGAGTTAAATTCCCATCCCAAATACCCCTAAATACTAACAACATATTTTCCTTATAGGTTTAAACGACAATGAGGCCATTTCAATATAAACTAAATGCTATAGCATTACTTGCCACAAAAATATACTTTCGTTCCTAAAATAAGAACACATAGTCTACATTTTATGCCAAATAAAAGAATACATATCAAGTGAATTTGAAGGTCTGACTTTGGAACACACACATGAGAGGAGAAGAAACATCACAAGCATACTGTTAAAGGTCTAAATATTAGAGAAGTGCACACTCAAAGGAAAGGCAAGCTATACAGGGCTCATATATATGCAACAACACAAAGATACAGATGCACTTGTCCCTGACAAACCAACTGTAAACTGATTGGTTTGCTTCTAGCACATGCATGGGTTGATGATACTACTTAGAACTTTAAGGGTCATCAATAAAGATTCAGACAGAACAGTCATGGCAAACCATTTTTACAGAAGATATCAGAGACAAGTTTGGACTTTTAACATGACTACAAGTTCACAGATTTGAACATGGAATCCCTAAGGGCTCAACAGAGTTATATCCCTAAAAATATTAACATTAACGAGTCATCATGTTCAGACAGTATCAACTAAGGACCTCATAAGGTTTAAGGATTAGGTTTGGTTTCAAATTAACAATAAGGAAAGGACTGGGGTGATATAGGTCAAAGCATGAGATCAGGAATCAAACAGGAACATATAGTATTCAGTTAGTTACATGAACACTTCAAGTGTAGTTATGACCTTATATACACAGGGAAGCTTTGCACATTATAGAATCAGGTTAAACATGTCATTAGGAGAGGGATTTACAGATAAAGGAAAGCATTGTGTTAAAATAAGTTTAACTTAGACATAAGTCTAGTTTAGTATCTAAATGTGAAGTAGTCCTGCTTCAACTTTTAAAAGTTATCACTTAATTAATACAGAATAACTAAGTCTCACTTTTTATGGAAGATAACTTGATGATAGATGCATGTAAGCTTTACAAAACTAACAGTAGTTCAAAGACATTAAAGGCAAGGAAGTACTATACAAAGTATCTTTTGAATTAAACATGTATCTGAAGATTTTAACTAATCATGAGATAGCCAAGTTTAGTTATACATAAATTACCAGTTGACTGTAACAAAACATGATCATGACTTGTTTTATGAAGGAAGGATAAATTAATCCTAACAGGATGTGTATAGTAGAACTATTGGCATTCATGAAAAGAAAAAAGTTCAACTCAAACAAGTCTAGGTGAACAGATGCAACAATAACTATATGAGATCATGAGAATGTCATAGTGACAACCCAAAAGTTGCTTTCAAAGTTAACAAACACAAGTATAGAGAAGAAAAAAAAGCACATAAGCACTTAGATTTTCATGCTTAAGTTAAATGGTAGATGATATAAACTTAGGTACCTTCAGATTCATCTCAGTTATGATTATCAAACAGCAAACTCAACCAAAAGACTAACAAAATACAGATAAGTAGCGTATAAAGGTAAAGGTCGCTATAGAATCTTCAATGGAAGGCTATGAAGTTCATGTGAACATGAACAATCATTCAAGACACATTATAACTTAAACATGTAGACTGTTGGAAATGCAGAAATGAAAACCATCAAGAATCACTTAATAACTTGATCAATCATCAATTAAAGACTCAAAAGGCATGACAAATAATTACGACCAGACAATATACTATCAGAACATAAGCATTCCCATACTGATTACAAACACCATAAACTATTGTAATTCTCAGAAGATAACTAACACATTTATGGCATTCAAAAGAGATGAGAAAAAGAGAGAGATGAGAGATATGCTAACCCTTTTTAGGATAGTAGACCAAATGAATACTCTCTTAGTTTGCTTAAGACCTCAAAAAACTTCAAGTTCGAAGCAGCGACAGTACTCAGAAATGAAAAAGAAAAGAAACAGTATGGAACCCTAGGCTTTTGAACTCAAAATTGCTCTTGAGGGATTGTGTATATGATTTCAGTGTTAGGTTGTCGTGTTTGTGTCCGTGTCCGTGTTCGTGTGTTTGGTGAGAATATTAAAAGCCCCTTTTATAGTGCCATTTAAGGATCTAGGATTTCACAAATTCTAATCAGTAGTGGAAAGTGACGCATGGTAGATGATGATAGCAAATTGAGTGGAAATCAGAAAGAAATAGAGGGAAAAAATAGGGTCGATCTTACCTGAGAGTAGGGATCGATTGTTGAAGGCTTTGAACCAATGAAAAAAATCCTAAAACCCAGAGGTCACTATGTATGACCTCTTGGTATAGAATTTCATGATGAGTCTCTGAAGGAAGCTCTATGCATGCTCTGATTTGACGAAGTATAAGAGGATTTAAACCATTTGAGGTTTAATGTTTATGCTAGGGTTCCAAATTTTAGGCGTTTGAATTTGAACGATGAAATGGGGAAGAAACCGGCGGGATTCGCGGATTCAGAAGGCAAAGTGGATGATTTTTTGTCGATTTGTGACCTTGCACAAATTGGTGCAAGGTTTTTGATTGATTAGGATGATAGAGGTTGACAGATGGAAGAGAGAAAAGGGAAAGGAGGGCGGCGAGGTTAGAGGGGAAATGATTTAGGGTTAGGGTATTGGGGGTTGGTCTCTGAGGGTTATGTTTGAAAGATGGAATATGGGTTTGATCATTTGATCAACGACACAGGTAAATCGGGGTTTTATGAGTTTAAACAAATTAATTTGGAAAAATACGGGAACCGTTGGATTTGTGTGATCCAATGGTGGAGATAATATTTGATCACTGGTCAAAATTAAAAGAGAAAATGTGAGTAATCGTGGGTCGTCGATGATTTGGATCAACGACTCAGATCATTTGTGTTTTTTATGTGAGTGTTGAAGACGGGTGATGTGGCAAGCGTTGATTGGTGCAAATAAAGTTACTTGGATCGCCATGGTGGAAAGAGATGGGTGTTTGGGTTGGGTGTATTTTCGGACTGGGCTTGTTAACTGGGCCAAATGATTTGAAAAATGGCCACTTTGTCTTTGGTTTAAGAATTGCAATTGTGGCCCTTTTGTCTTTTGGCCCCTTTTGAATTTAATTTAAATAATCTTAAAATATTTCAATAAAATGTGATAAAATTATAATTTCTATATATACTACTAATTATTTAATGAACCATTTGTAAAACACTTATTTTTTCCTAAATTGCAACAGTAAATTCGAATTTCATATAATAATCTAATTTACTAGAAATTAAATAGTAGTCTATAAAATTAGTTATAGAACCTATGTAATGTATATATATATATATATNTTAATACTATGTGATTAATTTTAGAGCTAATACTTGGTTAATTTGTAAAAATAGGCATTTGATACTAAAAAACACTTTAAAAATATTTATTGTAAATTGTTAAGTATAAATAAATTAATTTAAAAGGGAGGGTGAAAATTGGCCATCAACAATGACCACATTTCCCCTTCGGAATATCCTTCATGAACCCGAACTTTCGGGTAGGCTGGCCAAGTGGGCCGTCGAAATGAGTGAATTTGACATAGAATTTAAACCTAGGACTGTGATTAAGTCACAAATTTTGGCCGACTTTGTAGCCGATTTTTAGTCCGGGACTGTTACCTTTGGCAACCAAATATGAAGAGATGGTGTCAGAATCGACATCAGGAGTTTGGACCCTATTCACGGATAGAGCTTCCAAGGTAAATGGGTCCAGGCTCGGCATAGTACTAATCACACCTTAAGGGGAAACCCTAAGGCAGGCCATAAGAACGGTCCTGCTGACTAACAATGAGGCAGAGTATGAAGCTTTGATTGTAGGGCTCGAATTGGCCCGAGACTAGACTCCGAGGTCATAGAAATCAAATGCGACTCCCAGTTGGTGGTAAATCAGGTCTACGGGATCTTCGAAGCCAAGGAGGAATGCATGCATCAATACGTAATGAAGGTTCAAACTCTGATCGCTCGGTTTCGAGAGTGGTCAATCACTCATATCCCGAGGGAAGAAAATGCAGAAGCAGACACATTAGCTAACCTTGACTCGTCCACGGAAATGAAAGGATCGGACTCTGGTACTGTCGTACAGCTTATGCACTCGGTTCTGGACGTAGATAGCTATTACGAGGTAACTCGACTAACTCGGTCTGGGACTGGAGAAACAAAGTTATTGACTATCTCGAACACGAAAAACTGCCTGGGGATCCTAAGGCATCTCAGGCACTACAAACTAAGGCCGCATGATATAGTTTCAAAGGAGGTCAATTATACATAAAATATTTCTAAGGATCGTTGGCCTGATGTTTGGGAGCCTCCGAGGCTAACTATGTTATGCGAGAAGTCCACGAAGGGATCTGTGAGAACCACTCGGGCGTAAATTCCTTAGTACTAAAATTAGTAAGGCTAGGATACTATTGGTCCCCAATGGAACAAGACGCCAAAGCATATGTTCAAAAATGTGATAAATGTCAATGTTATACACCGTTGGTACATCAACCGGCAGAGCCACTGCATTCAGTTCTATCTCCATGGCCATTCATGAAATGGGGGATGGATATCGGCGGACTGCTTCCACCAATCCCCGGTATGGTAAGATTTCTTTAGATTTTAACTGACTATTTTTCTAAGTGGGTTGGAGCAGGTCCTTATCAAAAGATCGGTGAACATGAAGTAGTATATTTCTTGTGGGAGAACATAATTTGCAGATTTGGGATACCAAAAGAAATAGCCTGCGATAATGGGCCACAGTTCATAGGCGCAAAAATCACAAAATTCTTTGAAGATTTGAAAATCAAGAGGATCACATCATCACCTTATCATCTGAGTGTAAATGCCCAAGCAGAATCAATGAACAAAGTGATAATACAAAATCTGAAGAAGAGTTTAGAAGCAGCTAAAGGAAAATGGCCTGAAGAGCTTCCAAGTGTACTATAGGCATACCGAACAACAACCAAATCAAGCACGGGGGAGACTCTTTTTTCTCTTGTGTACGTGGTAGAAGCCCTGATCCCGGTGGAAGTAGGTGAACCTACCATGAGATATTTTCGGTCAAAACAAAGAAGCAAACAGTGAAGCAATATTAGTCAATGTGGAGTTGATTGATGAACGAATCGACTTGGTGCATATAAGGATGGCTGATCAAAAGTAGCAAGTAGAGAGATATAACAATCAAAGGGCCAACCTCCGTTACTTCAAAGTAGGAGACTTGGTTTTGAGGAATGTAACTCAGAACACCCGGGAACTCAATGCGGGAAAGCTAGATCCAACATGGGAAGACCCCTACCGGGTTTCAGCTATCACCGGGAAAGGGTCATACGAGTTAGAGAATAAAGATGGAAAAAAGTTGCAAAGCGACTGGAACGTGGCACACCTCAAGAGACATTATTGCTGATGAGCATCACCTGTACTGAAACATGTGCTGCACTCTTTTTTCCTTCGTCCGATTTTTGTCCCAATAGGGTTTTTCTAGCAAGGTTTTTAACGAGGCAACAACGGAAAGCATACTACGAAGGAAGATTCAACAACAATAATAAGACCTTTTAATGACAAGGCACACAAGCGAATAACCACTACCAAGCGGTTAGATAGTCTTTTGCTCGATAGTAAAGTTTCTACCGGGAAGTTGAGTCTGCTGTCGAACAGAGATTACCTGACCGTTCACAAGTGCAAGCCATTGGGGGGTTGTTAGATAATTTATGGCTTGATAGCATAAATTCCTAAGGGGAAGTGAATTTTGTTACCGAACTGAAGATTATCTAGCAATTCATGGAATCCTCGAAGGTGTAAAAATCCCAGTGTTCTAATTGGCCTTCTTTGCATTTGAGCACTGGGAGGAATGATATGAGGATATGGAAATAAAGATTGCCACTTCGCCGGAATACAAAATCCGAAAACATAATTGTATCATAGGGATCGAAGACTGCACGACCAGCCCCGTAGAAACAAGTTGTACAAGTTAGTTACAAGAAATGACAATTTCTTTTTACCACAACGAATGCTTATATACTTTTGAAAATGAAAGAAATAAAGTAAAGTCCTTTTATTTCTATCTTGTTTCTTGTTTGAACGATGAATTGATTTTATCATTTGAAAGTTAAACAAGTACTTCAAATGCTAGTGCCGTAATGAACAGGATATCCTCTTCAAGAGCACCATAAACATAAGAGGGTCCTCTCTTATGAAAACCCTCACGTTAAAGGGTTGATTTCGGAAGAACTTATGCCCGGAATCCAAATGCTTTCGGGGGAGAATACACCCAAAGCCTTGCATGTTCAGACGCAAACATTGCGCAAGCACTTAAACGAAAAAGATGCAAAGAACAAACTTGCTCAAATACTTAAACATAAAAGACGCAAAGAACTAACTTGCACAAATGTTCAAACGAAAGTACGCAGAAAGGGAAACTTATACGATACTTGAAAAAAAAAGTCCTTTTATTTACAAAAAATGTGCCAAATGATACAAGTGCAAAAGTTTGAAAAGGAAATCAAGAACTAAGCTGCTGCATCTTCGGAACCCGGAGGAAGAGAAGCATTTGCGCCCCCAAGAGATGTGGGTAGATATGTCGCTGGTTTGATATCCTGGCCTTCATAATTTTGGCCCTCAGCATCATCACCTTCTGGTTCCTCTTCAGCTCCCGAGAACTCAGAACCAGAAGAATCAGTAGCATCAAGGCTAGTCGGAAGACCCCTTTTAGCAGCCAACTCCAGCTCACGGCCTTTAGCGATTTCAACATCAAAATCAATGATACCCGCTTTAGCCCTTTACAAGGTTTTTCTCCTCATGTTTTTCATAGCATATATTTTTTCATCAGAGAGATTGTCTCGTGCGAATCGAATGGATTGGAGGCCGGCTTCAAAATCACGGACAGTGGAGCCATAAATCTTATCACGCTCTAAGGCTTTCTTATATTTCTCCTCCAATCAGGCATGCTTTTCCTCGACAACAACAAGTTCTTCAGCCTTGGAGTTTAAGGTTGCCTCCACATTATGCAATCTTTCAGCAGAGGCAGCCTCACGAATGGATGCAGCAAGGACAATATTATGAACTTCAACCCATTTGGCCTTAGTTTCTTCATATTGTGCCCTTAATGGAACAACCTGTTGGCTAAGAGTCATTGCTTCCTATCCGCTTTGCTGCAACCGAGCCTCCGATTCAACAACCTCAGCAGCTCGAGTGTTTAGTTCTAAGAGGCGAGCAACAATTTGGCCCCTCTCGATCGGAAGTTGATCCCGCTCGGAGGTAAGTTCCTCCTTATAACAAATCAACCTTTGAAGGCCCTTGGAGGCAAGGAAATTGGCCTGCAAAACAAGAATGCAAATTCAAAACTTTGCCATAACACAAGTAGAAGACACAACAGAAGAAAATAAAGACTATACCGCCACGGCGTTGTGCATGGCATTGTTCAACAAACATTCTCCCAAGAGAATTTGTATCTTTTCCCAATCTTTCTTTAAAGCCAGGGATTCAGATAGTTAGCAAGTTTGACTAGCCCGGACAACAGATTGCATCAAGTGGAAACTGAGAGGGTGGCGCTCCTCCTCCTTTGGGGATCTTCTGAGGGAGTAGCATAATTTTGCCCCAGGTCCCCATGAACTGGGGACTGTGGAAGAGGGACATCCTCCTCTCGGGTAGTTGCGGCCATCGAAAATGATATAGCAGCTG